TAATACTCGTGCTACTATGGAGCAGAGCCAGACCGAACTTCCCGACCTCAAACTTTGTGGGCGGGACTAAGTTCGGAATGGCACCCAGGCTAGACAAATCTGGCTCAAAGCTGATATTTTTTTTCTGCCCTGAAAGGGACTCAGGTGAGATTCTTTCATGATTGTCTTAACAGGCTGAGTCACATGGAATCTGGCTATTTTACATCCGATCTGGGCAATATTTGTATGTGGTGTTGAATCCGATATGGGTCAGATGTTTTGGAATCTGACTGCAGTCTGAAAAGCCAAGTCACCCATATTGAAATTAGCATGAGTATGATGTCACTCTGTGCTGACAGCACGGAACAAAAAAAAAATACAGCAAACATGGAGGAAAGCGTAAACAGAGGTGTACAGTGGAGGGATAATGAAATTTGGAATTAATAAGTATTTGGGCAGAGAAAGCGATCCTAAAGACACTTGAGGGGTCAGACCGTATCAGCTCAGTTGACTAAGTAGCTGCAGCGACACATTTCTCCTTTGTGCTGTCAGTGCCACTGCTCCTCCAAAAGCCATAATTAATAGTTTAGCTCCCTTTCTCCTCTGTCTCCTTTTGGCATATTCTGCTATTTTATCCTGCTAATTCCACTGCTTAATAGCTTTTAGTCCCTCCATAGAGACAGACTTTTCACATGTCTTGTTATTGTTTGGCTGTGCATGCGGGTCACTTCAGGGACACAATTTTAGACAGTCACGTGAACAGCCACACAAAAACAAAATCGGTCTGACAATAAATCTAACCATCGGAATTGAGCATTAAGACCTGCTCTTTTCAATCTGCTGCTTCAAAGTGGTCTGCTATTAGTTGTAAAGCTACAAGTTACAGTTCTACTTACAAGTCTAGTTACAGGCCTAGTTATAGGCCTAGTAACAGATCAAGTTACAGGTGGAGTTACAGGCCTAGTTACAGGTCTAATAATAAGTCTAGTAACAGGCCAAGTTACAGGATGAATTACAGGTCTAGTTACAGGTCTTCTAACAGGTCGAGTTACAGGTCAAGTTACAGGCCTAGTTATAGGTCTAGTAACAGATCTAGTTACAGGTTGCGTTACAGGTCGAGTTAAAAGCCTAGTTATAGGTCTAGTTACAGGTCTAGTAATAAGTCTAGTAACAGGTGTAGTAACAGGCCAAGTTACAGGTCGAATTACAGGTCTAGTAACAGGTCGAGTTACAGGTCAAGTTACATGTCTAATTACAGGTCATGAAAATGACACATGCATCCTGCTTCATCCATCAGGGTCACAGTGGGACCAGTCCCTATCTACAGCATTCTATGGGTTAAAGGGGGGGGGGGTTACACCCTGGACAGGTCAGGGTGTCCAGGGTTTTTAGAAGATAAAGACATATTTCTTTTTATGTTCATAACCAACACCTGCGCTTTCTTTAGTGGTTGTTTTGCTTCAGAGGTTTCCGTTCTGTGTTCTTGAAGCCAATTTTCTAGCTCTTACATAATTTGATTCCAAAAGCTGTGGGAACACAAACATTGCCTTTGATAAATGAGAAATAAACCTCCCAGTGTTGAGTTTTACAAAACCCATCCTGCTCAATCTGTTCTTTCATTTTCCGTGAAGATGATGAGAAATTTACCTTTTATTCAAAAAGTCGGTTGGAAAGTCTCTTTATGTTAAGAATTTGGCTCTCTTGATGCTCCTGCAATTACCCTAAAGGATTGTGAAACCAGCGTTCAAGTCTTCTGCTCTACACAATGAGCACTTTCTGTTAGTTATAATCTGAAATGTGTGTAAAGTGAAAATTTATTAAAAAAATATATGAAGATGACGAATTAAAGACTTCCTTAGAAAATATATTTTAAAGCTGCTTTTAAAGAAATGTAAATGTATTGAGTGAGTTTAGCTTCCTTGTTCCCCCTTCCTGTCATGCAAACTAATCAACTTGCAACATGGCTTTTTCTTTGATGGGGAAACTACCTTCCATGTTTGTCTTCTCCACCCTTAAGTGGCATTGAGCCAGTTAGTTTTGCTTAGATGTACTTAGTGAAATTTGCAACACAAAAGGACATTTCTAATCTACAGCAACTCTCACAAGACGCCGTGACTCCTTTATTAAAAGCTGTGGTCCACAGCGTAGGTGAATGTCATCCTTTCAGGTTTCTACAAAATGCAGTAGTTTTCTCCGTAATTAATTATTGATTAGAAAATACATAATCATCAACAAGGGATGAGGAAGAGACAGAGATATGATGTTCTAGCATTTAGAGAGTCACACACTGTAGCTTGTCAAGGTATTTATCCTGCATGAACCTCTTTTTTTTTCATTTTTGACACGTTATAAATACAGTATTCAGTGCATTTTATGGGTCACTTATCTAATGGACCGGGTAAACAGAAAGGAACACAATGCAGCTTTAATAATGTCTACTGTGGTACTGTGGTACGTATTCATATAGTGCCTGAGGTCAATTCTTTAGCTGCTATTGCTGCTCCAAATCATTTAAGGTATGTCTCTGCCTGCTTTACATATCTTGGAACTTTTCTCTGGCAGCTTCACACGTAGATATGCACTCCTGTGAACCTTTCCTTTTACTGTTGTTCTCATCATGTGTGTTGGCTTCCGCTTGAAAAGAAGAAGCTACCAGGGTACCTAAAGTCTTTTTTTAAATCCAGGATTCCCTGTATTTAGTTGAATCCAACTTTTAACTAAGTACATAAAGCTTCCTTTTCTGTACTGAAATACACAGCATGATGCTTCCACACTGGTTTGTGTGGGGATTTTTATTTCAGTGGGTGTTTGGCAGTTTTCCTCCTGAGGCAGAACTGAACAGTGTAAGACAACTTGTAGACATGCCGCCCCCTCTTGATTCTACAAAGATGTGAAGTTGACAAAGCAGGTGACTGTTGGGGAATTCATCTAATTGTTTTTAAGTCGGTACCTTGATCTTGCTCCCAGGTTTGTTCAGACATGTTATGGCGTGAGTCCATTTTTTGTCATTTTGTCTTGGCTTGGTTGTCATTTAGTTTGTGTTTTTAACATGACATGAAGGTTCAAGTTTCTATATGTAACTCCAACACAAACTAATTACCGGTAGTTGTTGAGGTCTTTGTTTTTCCTAATTTATTGCCATCATAAATGTGTCACAGCCAGTGGTGGAAAGTAACAATGTACATTTATTAGATTAATGAACCTAAGTACATTTTTATCTTTACTTTATCTTTTTTTCAAATGCTAATCAAATGCTGTACTTTCTACTCCACTGCATTTCAAGGAAGCTTCTAGTTACTTGTTCCTTTTGGCTCAGCTTAGCTTTGTAATCCACTGTTGCTGTTTTTCGTTCTTGAAATGAGTTTGGACACCACTGTTTTGAAGATTTGCATGACATTACACAGATGTTAGGAAGTCAGAACAGATAATATTTGTAGTTTATCATTGTATTATGTATTATTATTTGTATTGTACTGAAGAATTTGGGGCCAATTCGTTCAGTAGAATGAACAGCTTGGTCACAAAGCAGAATTGTGGTTTATTTGTGGTAATAGATTCAACCTTAAATCTCTATTCCACAGTGAAAGTGTGAGGAGGATTAAGACAATCCTGTTTTCTTTTTGGGTTATTTTTAAATAAGATGCATTTCTATGCTGAAGTTCTTTACAGGTGGTGTAGAATCTGTTGCAGGTGGATTTATGCATCAATATATCTGGTGGTTTCTGAATGTTACAAGGATCTTTAAAATTACTCTGAAAATTATGCAGAAATGTACTGATATTAGAAAGTGGTATTTGGATTTTTGAATACTTAAGTACTTTTAAATGCATTAACTTTTGAATATTTAAGTATTTTCAAAAGTGAGTAATTTAATACTTTAACTTGAGTAGATTTTTACCTGTACTTGTAGTTGAGTATGATTTGACTATGAGTCTCAATACTTTAACTCAACTACTGCTGTTGAGTACTTCATCCAACACTGGTCATAGCAGAGATATTGTGAAGTAAAGGATCTAAAAGCCTTCACGGACCTCATATGTAAGCTGATCCAGTGTTATCTGTTTAGTAATTAGCTGATGATGATGGAAAAATCAGGCTGAAACCTGCTTTTCCAGTAACTCAAAAAACCGTTTCGTGGGTTGAGACGAGGCGGAGGAAGAAGTTAAACAGAAAATTCCTTGCATAACTGGAACCTGTTTTCTTTTCTTTTTCCTTATTGGTAAAAATATTTAGAGTTATTAGCTTGTGGGCGAGAAACAGCTAAGAGCTGTACAGTTTGTCAGCACTGTACAGCTGTGTATACATGAAGACCTTGATGTCTGTTTGCCCAAACCTGAAATCCACACTGCTCAATATCACCACCTATTGCCTCTTCTCCTCTTGACTGCTGAGTGCGAATGGGGAGTTGGGGTCTGGTGGGTTGTGGGGGGGGGGGTGTATGCGTACCAGCAAGGTGTACTGTAGTTTGGCTGCATGTTACATAAAACCACCTCAGAGCTGAGCGTTCTGTAAAATGTGGCCTTCCTCTAATTGTATAGGAGGAGGCAGCATGGGCTCAGGTGAGCCTGGGAGGAGCTGCGCTAAAGGAGGCCCGGGCCGAGCTCACCGAGGCCAGGAAGCAATGGCGCTCCCTGCAAGTGGAGATGGAAACTCTTCATGCCTTGGTAAGATCAATCATCACCACACCCTGATACACTGATAAGCCATGAAAAATGTCAGCTGCTGAAAGGAAAAGACAATCGACCTGGCAAGGTGAAAGCATTTAACTGTCTTTACATGTTCCAGTCAATTAAATGGAAACTTTTCTTTCCTGGTAATAGTTTTTCAACTCATGCAACTGATTTATATCTCTTCTGCATGAAACCTAATTTGATAGACCTTAAAACAAGAAAACAGTGGTTTCTTGAGTACTCAGCGATGCAGTTATTGTTCTGTAAGGCTTTAGACTCACACAGGATTAAAAAAGACTTTAGTAAATTCATGTTTTGTAACTGTACATAGCTATTATAACAACAGCTACAACAGAATAGATACTTACAGGTGCAGCTACTTCTTTCTGTTTGCACACAAGGATTCAAGAATCAGAGAATAAATAAACATGAGTTAAAGGTAAAATGTTAAGTAGTCACGAAATAGGAAAAGGCTACAAAGTAGGTCAGTTTTTAACCGTAATTGAGCTTATTGACTTAGCTAATATTTATTAAACTGAAGATGATTTTCAACATTAAGTGTTGTCTTTATGGCTTAAAGCAGAATTCTTTTATAAATTAATGTGTATATATATATATATATATATAGTCGAAACAGTCTCCGCACAATGGCAGCTCACTGCTCCCAAAGGGGATGGGTTAAATGCAGCAGTACATTTCTCCAATATGAGATTAACAAAGTTCAATTATTATTATTAAAGATAAGTTGTGAATTGTATTTATCAATCCCATAATAATTCCTGTAATTTGAAAACCTATTTTCCAATCCCATTTATCATGGAGATTTAAAAACCACGATTCATAAACCTGATTATAAATAACTTTCCTAATCACACATTTAAAAAGAAAATTACTTATTCTGTTTCAGTTTTCTTTTTCCCCTTGCTTTTCAAATCCTGTAGCAGTTGCATTTTCTTTTGACCTTCCACACTCCATTTACTTTTTCCATTGACCCTCTGGTCCCAGAGGCCACTGGAAACCAGTCATAGTTGCTCCTTAGATCAAACCAGCTCCCTGATTAGTAAGACTGCCACACATGGTTCACAAAGTGACCACTGAGGGAGCTAACTGTATGAAGTTTTTTATAATCTGAAGTATGAGTTTTGGTCTTTAAATCTCCATTTAAAAATACATGTTCATGTAATTTACAGCAATAGTTTGATAAATACAATATAGAGTTTACTTTTTAAATCAGTATAATATGTGCAACAAGAAAACACTTCTCAAATTCAAATTTCTAATTGTATGTCGGACGTATTACATCTGAAATGGCAGTTTTCCTCTTTCAGTGACTCTCTTGGTCCTTGATTAGGTCCTCCCAAACCTAATGCCATGAGTTTCAAAGCGTTGTGTTTACCTAAAATATTCTTTCCTGGAAAATAGGAGCTTTGGGAAAACAACAAAAAGGTTCTGATGTCTCTCTTTGTAAAATGCAAAGCAGCTGCTGATTATTTGAGGCTTAAAAAAAACTGGTTAATATACAGGCTGTATGCAAACTACATGAGGATCAAGTTTGCAGAGAACAGTCTGCCTGCAGTGAGATGTCCTTTACAGAGGTGAAGGATTAAAAGGTCTTGTACGGTACACCATATACAGAGCTTTGCAAAGTTTTTCACAAGTTTTCTATAGTGTGTGACAGCCTAATAAAAGTATATGATGGTAAAGTAGAAAGAACGTGATATTTTATGGAACATTTTTTTGCTGTAATCACATTTGCATCTATTTTGGTAGTTCAAAGGGTTTGCCAAATCATCCCCATATAAAGTAGTTAACTCAGATTGGATGGAGTTTCATCTGAAAACATTGAGTTCCAGGTTTTGTCACAGATTTCTGTCTAAATTCAGACCTGGACTTTGCTCATCTGTAAAAAACAATTAGGCTTTGATCAGTGATTTCAAATTACCCCTTTGGCTGCATACAGTATTTAGTATTTATCTTCCTTTCCCTGATAATGGAGCATTCTCCTATAATGTTATGCTAGGTGTAGCGGCATAGTGAATAGCTCAGAGCGTATGCATCCTCAGATTAACAGATTGTCAGTGTGGTAGAGCAAGGCCTTCAGATTATTACCGATACTGTTGTTATCAATAATGCTGCCACCACCATGTTCCATTATGGGGATGAGGTGTTCTGCTGTAGAATTTCTACTGAAGAATAACTAGTTTAGCAATACTGCAGCTTCCAGCAGCAGTATGAAAAGAAAATTCATTGCTTATATCCCATAGGGTTGTTTGCTTTATTGTCACCAGGAGAAAGGCCTGGAATGCACTCTGCAGCACACCCAGGACCTCTACACAAGCCAGTTGCAAGACCTCTCGCAGGTGATTCTTAGGCTGGAAGGTGAACTGGAGCAGGTGAGGGAAGGCCTGGCCACCCAACGCCAACGCCATAGCCAACTGCTCAACACCAAGATGAAGCTAGAGAGGGAGATTGCCACTTATCGACGGCTACTGGAACGTGAGGAGGGCAGGTAAGGTGGCGGATTCAGGGAGGGAGGGCAATCTTCAGAGAACCAGGAAAGGAATTAAAGGGAGGGAGTTTTTTGGTTTTGGCGTGATTATTCCTACTTTGCACTTTTAGTTGAGAATCAGTTCCTGGAAGAGTGGAGGGGTGAAAAGATCATACACCTTATTTTTATGCCAAACCTTTTAAGTAAACAAAAAGGGCTAAACTCATTTAGCTAACGTAAGTATTGAGGAAGTGTATCTTCAGCTCTTTCCAACAAAGTCAACAAAATTACCTCCTAATGTTCTGTTCACTAAGCAAACAACTCTACCAGAGCTCCTTATGTGTTGGGATTACTCATAGCAGCTCTTTCTGATGCAGATGATGTAGATTTCATCCTGACTGAAAAAAAAAATCCATAATGATTGCAGGTTGAAACAAGGACATTCCTGTGGATTGACTGGAAAAAGAGCAGAAATCACAAACAATGGTTAGAAACCTATCTATGACCTAACAAACAGAATCTCCTCAACTGCTTGGCCCGTCGTTCTACCAGCATCAACATGTTTTATCTGAAAATGTTAAGGATGGCCTCTAATTGTTTTTACAGGGCGTTTGTAGGAAAAACAACAAACTATAGAGTACCTTGGAAGAAGCAGCGACAGTCTGAGCCGTTTAATAGTCGCTTAATTAAGGAAAATTATTTGATTATAGCAGCTAGTAAAGGTTGTTGGTAGGTTGCAGAGGACACCTGATTGTTTGCTCATGTTTGTGAAGGGTGGCACCCATGTGGTTTACGCCAAACAAAACATGCAGGAATGCCTTGTAAAACCATGACCTGTGCACTGAAGCATTTTAAAAACCACAAAAAGCTCAGACACTGCTGTGCCCTGGCACAGAGTTCAAATGAATGGTCTCACTGAGAAGCGTGCGGCGTTGTATTCTTCGGTAACACTACATTTTCCATTGTGCGACGCCCCTTTTTGATGGTTCTGAATAGTTAAAAAAAATGCAGTTTAATTTTAGCTGAAGACTGTTACATATTTCCATTATCACTTGATGCTGAGTGACCTAAGTCTAACTAAAAAAAGGGTAAAATAAAAGGAAAAGCAAATTAAAAATAGTTTAGTAAGATCTACTATGAAGATCCTCTTCAGATCAGTGCTTTCTTTTGTGTTTTCATTTAAAACTCACCACCAATAATTTACCATGCTGCAAAAATGGATGCTTGATTTATTACTCTGAAATGCTACATTAGAATACATTGATGACATCAAAGTACATTAGATATATTTTGAGTCTGAAGTTTAGCTGTTCGGCCGATGTGACATCAAGTGCGACTATGTTAAATGGGTCCAATTGTTTGAACTAATACTTTGCTTACTAGAGAAACATCCTTAAATGCCTCTGAATTTTAATATTAAAATGTATTTTGATAGATCAACAGAAAAGGAAAATGACCGATTCTTTTCAGGGATATGTTAAAAAAAAATCTGAAAAGACTAGAATTTTACATATTTGGCCTCCTTTACTTCCTTTCACTTAAATTAATTCAGTGCAACCAATTACCGTGAAACATCCCAGTTTTAGCAAACAAAGTCTCACAGGAAACAAAGAAGAAGGTTTGAGCACGACTTTGAACCTACAAGGACATGGTTATGCCTCTGAACTGACAGGACATGCAACAAGAGCCGTAATCAGAAAACAGCGATAGACTCTAACTCAGGGGGAACTGCAAACATTCACAGCTCAGTAGAAGAATCAGTCATGCAACTAATAAATCTGATTCTTAGAGGGAATGAAAAAAAAAACCAAATATATTTTATATAACCTGTTTGCATACAGGGGGAACATGTCGGGAAACGAGTCAAATGTAGAAGAAGATGAAAGATTTTCGGAACTTTTTCATTTGAAAACTGTTTTCTTTACACAGAATAATGTATGGAGGAAAACTACCACCATTCCACCCTTTAATTCCTCCGTCTTCTACTTTTGAACCTAAAAATTTGAAATCTGTAACTACTTTCTGTTTCGCCTGCCTTAATCTGCAGGTACATGCAGGACCGTTGTGTGCAGCCGCTGCGTCTGCGACCCTGGAGGTCTCCTGTGTTGGAGCCAAACGAGAATGGATTGGAAAACAGCTTTAGTGACTCTGTTGTTACTCCGGATGAACCTAAATCAGAGCCATTGCCTGATATCCCATCGCTCCTTCCTGCGGACCAGGAACTGAAGAAGAGCAAGCTGTACAGACAGCAAAGCCTGGTCATACTCACAGGTAGACCAAACACACACACAGAATCTTATCTCAGTCATGCTGGTTTTTGGTGGGTCATTTATTTCTTCTCATAGAGCCAGAGCAGGATAAAGACTTGCCATTGGCCACTGTAAAGACACAGGAGATCCTGCAGGGCAAAGTGGTCCAGGAGAGCGCAGAAGGTCACGGCACTATTGAGTGAGTATTTATCTTTTTTTACCCCCATTGACCTTTGGCCTTTGCAGTTGTGCCTCAGGCTGAACTGTCACTGCTTTTGTAAAAAAAAAAACTAACACAGGTCATTAATTCCTGCTGCTATCAGATTTTCCAATGTGGCACTATAACTGCGATAACTTGTGCAATAGCTAATGTGCAATCACTATGTAATACCCCATTGCAATACCCTGTTAGGTTGGCAGGGGGAGGAGAAAAATAATATAAGCTGCCAGTGTGGGTCCATATGCAAGACCCTTTGCGCTACTGCCTATCGGCAGATGGATGGCTCAAGTCACCCAACTTGCACACGGTAGGTCAATGAAAAATGTCCATGCGGGTTCTTAGGCAAGACCCTTCACGCTAATGCCTACCTCATACAATTATGACAGACAATATAATGAATGACATGCTGGGTCAGACGTCACCCAGTTAAACAAGTTATACATCAGGTGTTGGGGAACCAGAGCACCTTGATGTCAAATAGGCTACTGGAACAACACAAAGGGAATGGACAAGATGCGAGAATAGGGCTCTATTACAATGTTCCTACCTAAGTAACCCTAACCAGAGAGGCTATTGGGGCACCTGGGGCAGTGACCCCCAAACTTGAAGAGTGGTTACAGCAGATCCCAGGAAATACATCAGACATCTTGGTCCAGAAGAGTGCAGTTCTAGGAACAGCAAAGATACTGCACAGAACCCTCAAGCTCCCAGGCTTCTGGTAGAGGACCCATGCTTGGAGGAATCCTGTGCAATAACTTGTGCAATGATCCTCTTAAATAAGAGACACTCTGGGATTAGGCTGAAAGAGAAAGCGGCACAGGAGCTGCAAACTAACTAGCTATTATATATATATATATATATATATATATATATATATATATATATATATAATACTATTGAGCCAATATGACAAGTGAATTTCTCCACTGTGAGATGAATAAAGTCATTTATTCAATCAATCAATATTATATCTCAGGAAAGAGACAGCTCTACATGATCCAGATAAATACCTTATAAAAAATACTATTTTGCCGTATATTTACCTTGTTTCAGTTTTTTACTGTGTGAGTGTTCTTTGAGTCACACATGATCACATCATACACCTCCCCACCCCGGTGATGTCTGCTCCAACTGACAAGGGCTTAGCATCTTTACAACATCCAACAAGTCGCACGCAATAAAACACTGAGTCGGCATCGCAGGTTCTCATGAGTAACTCTTCACCCCGTTGCATGGGAACCTTGCTGTGCTGTTAGTTTGTGTTTGATGTAGAGATACACGCCTGGTCTGCAGACTTTCAGGGTGTGGTGCTGTGTTATTGTTGGAGGAAACAAAGAATAGTTTGGTATGCTTCAGGTCCAAGAGACATGCAAGAAGATTGACAACATTCAGACACTGTGGGATTAGGCTGAAAGAGAAAGCGGCACAAGAGTTGCTATGCTTGTGTTTTTTTTTTAGCAGAAAATGCCACTGTGTGTAAACACCTGCTTGCTGTGCAAAATTTACCTCACACATTTTAAGCACCTGGAGCATTGCTTTTGTTTTCTCGTTTTCAATCGAGGTGTTAGTTCTTGAGAGCACATTGCAATCCTTCACTGAGCTGACTCCTACACGGTTCACTTACTCACCATAATTAGGATCACAAACTGATAAAAAAACACCCAAACTATATTGTTTTGAACAGTCTTGCAATCCAAAAAACTTTGAACACAAAGTTCTTTTATCAAAATTGCTTATTTTTTGGGTAAATCAGAGCATTTGGGAATTGTTTGTGTGTTCAAGCAGCATTTCCTTTGATGATCTGCCTTCTGCTCATCTGCTGCAGAGTTGATTAAGCTACAGATTAACAGGCATGGTGCTGTCATCAGTAAGCTTAAAGGCATTGTCATCGAGAAGGGACTTGCTTTATTTAGAGATAGAACATGGCTTAATACACATCAGCTGCAATGAACCAACCCTCAGCAGCTCGATTTTCTCTTAGAAATCAGATCTAATCTTTTAAAAGGATCATAAACAACAGTTCAACAGTCTTAGTAAAGCCCTTGTTATTATTTTCATGATGTTTGATTGTTTACGGTAGTTATTGTCTTAGTTATTTTAAGTACCTGACCATGTTCAGAGGTATATTTTGATAAATCCACAAAAAAGTATAATGATGTCATTATTTTCGCTATCCTGTTATCACTCCTAATTCCACAAATTCACCAAAAGTTCAACTCTGTTGGAGCTTTGCAACAATTTTGACATTTGTTTTAGATATTTGAATAGAAAAAACTTTACAAATAGGGTTAGGGTTACAAATATTTTGTAATTAAACCAACGTAGAAATGGGGCATATATGTAAAGTAGAGAACAAATTATACAATTGACCAAATATGCTTCAAATGTAAACCTAAGAAGTCTCCCATTCATGTGTTTTAAGTCCCCTTTTTCTCTAAATCCCCCAAATAAATTCCAGTGATATTATTTACCTTCAGATTTAAGTTGAAAGAGTCCATCTTTGTGTGAAGTTTCTCACAGGTTAGATGGAAAGGTTAAAGCATAGTTAGGTGATAAAACATTTCCAGCTCTGATCATCTCACAAAACTCTCTTTAATACATCATCCTAAAATGAAAGTGTGACATAACTGCTAGTCTACTATGACACACTGGTCCAGCTACACTGATAGGTTTTACAAAAACGGGAATTAATCAGAGAAAAAGACAGGTCCAAGTAGTAGTGCTGTTGACAGGACATGTTGACACAGCCATTGTAAGAAAGCTATATACACATTTTGTGCAATCATGATATATTTAAATGCCCATACCACCAGGGTTAGCAAATATGTTATTTATGCGAATGATATTGGGACTTTCATATGCTGTTGTGTGAACACATGCTAAACTGGCTGTGTGTTAGAACAACAAATGAAAGTATGAAACAAGCTTTAGTCATAGTCAAATAGATAAATGATTCAAAATATGAGCTCCAAGTCAAACATATTTCATTTATTAATTCTTGACTATACTAGTGAAACTCAACTAAACTAAGCCGTGTGCACAAAGAAGGAAACACATGGTTGAAGACAATTATCATTAAATGAGGTTATGATATACTGTTTGGCAGGGATTTTATGGTTCAGAAGCAAATTTAACGTCAATAATTTGGAATGTGATCAAATGAACTTTTAACCTATCTAGAGCAATTTGAATGTGTTCAAACCAATTCGCATAAAAATCCCATAGATAAACAAAATATTTAGCAAAATAATGTTTCAGTTTTTAATTTTCTTAATTAGAAGCCAGTAACCTTTTTGCTGATTGATTCATAGCCTTCTGTGCTTGAGCAAATAGCTAGCAAACATTAGGGGACTCTTCTTAAAGGACATTTTGGTCCAATTGTTTTACTTCAAATGCAATGAGGAAAACATTAAAGTTAATATTTTAATGGTGTGTAAACCCCTTACTGAATTAAAGCTGGTTTCAGATTTATAAACAACAGCTCATAACATTTTAACATAGTTTACCATGCAGTCCAAACTCTGAGCTTGGTATTAATTCCTGTGTTTACAATAGAAATCACATGAAATAATCATAAATCATCAAAGAGACAAATTCTTTAGCTTGAAGTTGCAACATTTGTTGGTCTCCATTTTAGAAAAGGCTGAGTTATGTTCAGTATCTGGCAGCTTAGTACGGCAGGCTGGCAACAGCGGATCTCCCCTTTGCTCCACACCTCCTGTCCCTTCAGACATCTGAAAGTTCCCTGCAACTCAGAGAGGAATGTTGCAATCTGTCTTTTCTGCAGCAAGTTTGTCACCATGTCAACTTAGCCTTAGTCTGCAGATTCTGAATCTTGCTTGTGTCCTTCCATGTTTGCACCTCCTCAATGTGTCTGGTCTGAGATCAGCCACAAAACAGAGACAGTGTCCTTGAGTTGATTCTTTTCTTCTCAAGCACAGTGGGGGAGAGCATTAACAAATTTTAAAGTCAATATCAGCATTGGTCCCCAATGTTAAAAATTGATATGATGGTTTATGGGCCAATAAAGTCATTCTTGCAGTTTGCCACAAGCCATGTAGAAAACAAAGCGGAGAAGATAAGAAAAACATAGAACTTTTTAGCTTACATGCGAAAACAATATGGTGGGGAAAAAAAACCTTCAGGATAAAACACCATCATTAAGCTATATTTGCAGCAGCATGCAGTAGGGATAATTATTATATTGCTGGGAAAAGGAAGAGGTTTGACTTAATGGGTGGAGAATGGAGCGAGTAATAGTGCAATAATTAATGAGCACCTTTTAGAGGCTGCAAAAGACTTCCAACTGGGAAAGAGATTTTCCAGAGTTGCAGCAGATACTGTATTTTCATTGAAAGCACATTCATGTGCCCAAGCCTTAATCATTAAATTATCTGAGAATCTGTGGTAAGATTGAAACAGAAAGAGTTTAAATATACTCTCCATCTCATCTGGCTGAGCTTGCCATATTCTATAAAGACAAATTTTCTTTTCAGTGTTGACTTAATGGGACTGAACAGTCCTTTTTAGGTTAAACATATTTTATTCACACCTAAGAATACAGTATTGCTAAACTGCATTTTAGCTCGACTATAGCTCATTAAACAGATCATTTCAATAATGCCTGGCTGAATAATGGTTCATTTCCCTGTTCCTGTTTCAGGTCTTTGCTTGTTGTTTTCCCATCTATCTTTTTTCAAACATGAATTCTAGATACTGTGGATTGTTGAGGCCTGCCTCTTTTGATATCGCCCTCATTTCCTCATCTTCAGCACACTGTGCAGCAGCTTTCTGAGATGTTTCTAATAAGCTGCATGTTGTTACAGCTTTGCAGCCCACTCTCTGCAGTCAGAGCTCATGAGTTATAACATGTTGGGGTTTGGAGTTTCATTTTCGTTATAAACATACATGCATTGTGAAGATAATTCAGCATTCAAATTCAGTCTCTGCTGTTCTTGGTTTTATCTTCTATGCATGTATTTTAATGCTCAATCTTTGGGATGCTTTTTGTTTTATGGCTGCATTTACGAATGTAGCACCTACAGCCATGTTTTAATTTGCAATGTATTTATTTAGTTTTGTTGTGTGAGTAAAATGGAAAATAACTGCAAACCACGTTTAAAATGTTCAAACAGACTCTAGTCCCATAGCTGCTTTCCTGCCTCCCCCCTCATTGTTTGAACATCCTGCATGTAATGACTGTTCAATCTCTTCTTGTCGCAGGACAGAGAAGATTGACAAGGTGATAAAGCAATGGGAGGGCTCCTTCTTCAGAGGGAACCCCAAACTGAGGAAGAAGTCTGTGTCGCTGCGCTTTGACCTGCACATGGCCGCAGCAGACGAGGGCTGTGCCCAGACCAAACAGGACAGCCTCCCTGACGTGGAGGTGCGGCTCATCATGAAAAGGTCCCGCAGCATCTCCACCATCACACAGTGACTCTCCCCGCTTCAAGAACACGTTCATATCTGGCTTGTAGCATTGTGTGGTGAGGCCAGAGATGGTGAGGCTCCAAATGGAAGTGCGTCGATCCTGCACCGACCCTCGAGATGCATCTAATCATTGCCATCATGCTTTCCAATGCAAAATTCACTTAAGCTAGCATCACAGCTCATGGCTGAATTTACCCGTCGGATCTTTGCTCTGGCAGGATAGGTGTTATAAACGAGGCTTTGTGGTGACAGTTTGATAGAGCTGGAGAGGTATGCGTTCAGGGCTGTAAAATGTAAATCATATTCTGACGTCATCAGCTCAGATAAAGAGAAAGTGTCTCTCCAAGTCTCAGACTTGACTGCATTTGAGACATTACAGACTAATGCTGACATTTAATCCCAGTTAAATCCTGCGTGAAGGTAGGAGGAGATAAATGCAAACAGACCTGTTTAATCAGCTTCAAACTACCTGAGGATGTATTCAAGTGGTGGATTTACAGTTTAGGTCTGTATGAAAAGTGTGCAAGCATTCAAATAACATGTTTTTATTTTTTTGTTGCCCCTGTCACCAGCAAACAGGGCAAAAGTCTCTTTATATTTTTAATTTAAATCCACTTATAAGTCATAATCTTAATGGTGGAACTTTATAGCCTTATTCACAAGATGACAGAGTTGTTTTAACATCTAAATAAAATAGTTCTGATGAACTTTAATAGAAAGGCAGCAGGACAATAGAAGGAAAGCAGATGGTGTGATTGAGTCATGTTAATCAGTTAATTAAGCCCAACTAAACAGATTGTGTTGCTGCTTAGGATGTTGTTGACATTAGAAGAATGATAACCTTACTAGAATACCCAAACATTTTCACCCTTTGTTTCTTATAGTTATTTAAAAGGTTACTGATAAATTTATGTCTATCCCCTCATCTTTTCTTCTTTTTTTCCCCTGGTGCAATATCATTATATCATTAGTCTTTTATTGTTTCTTGTGTCACACTGTAATTTCTGTATCTTTTTTGCAGCTACACTTACAGGAGTCCTTTTAACAGGAAAATGCAGATAATTTAAGTAGTGAAATTTACTAAAACATTAGTCTATCTTTACATAGTTGTTGTAAGGATTCAAAATTTGTTTTTAAAAAGTAAGATACTGTTTTTCAGTTTCAGTGGGTAGAAAATGTTTCACCTCATCCCAGTTATTTACCTTCTGTATTTAGTTGATTAAAAGAAAAGAAGCAATATCTACAGATTATGATATAATCAAATCATAAATGTCTAAAATATTCAATATTACATCCAAACATAGTTAAGGGATGATCTACCATGACAGAGTGCAGCGCAGACTCAGAGCACTTAGTTGCACACACCAAAATACAAAACAGTGTCGGATTTCTCTAGTTTGGCAACCAGAGTTGTTGTCTTTATCTGAGCCAAGTGCTGACTGGGTTCATCAATACTCCCTCGCAAATGAACAAGAATGTCTCCTAATATTTGTTTATTGCTTATTCTTATTGGTTGAGGTTAGGCTTGTAGCTAATGATGGTTTGATTTCATATTAAAAGTAAAGAAAAACAAGTTTAAAGACAGAAACCCAAGGAACCTCAAATACAAAACTCATGGCAACATGCGGCTAGATGTTGTGCTCCTGTTCCAGCAAGCATTTTTACTCTTATCAGAATAATGCAGCTTCCAAAATGCAATCTATAAGTCCATCTACAGTTTTCCTCAATGCTTTCTTTTTGTAAAAAGTTCCCATATTATGACATTACCCTTTGTGAGTGGAAGGGGTATTGAAATACATATATACCTTCTGCCATTTGGCTCCAGCACCAAGAAAAAAAAACTTGCAGTTGCTGCTAAGTAAAGTATTTCAAAAGGAGAGGATGTTTGGGGCCTGAGAATAAGTTCTGCTCCACTTTTCCAGGGCAGCAGGATCTATTGAGGCTGCAGAAGTTCCTATTCTATCATTTGTTTGTGTTACCATTAAGCAGCAACACATACTTCTAACAGGTCCATTTTTTTGTTTTTTTACAAAACAATCACTTCTCTGTTTACAAATATATGCTAGAAACATTCATTTTGAAATTATCTGTTTTATGAACCTGCCTCCAAAATATGAAGTTTACTCTGTAATTTTACTAAAGGTCCATTAAGCAGAGTTGTGTTTTAGTTTTAGATGGTTAACTGTGACAATTATTGCATATATGAAGCAAGTCTAGATGTATCCTTTTTGTTGTTGTTGTTATTGTGCTATTTGTGTTATGTTGAATTACACATTGAGGATTAAGGGTTTTAGCTCTCTTCTTGGAATGGAATATTAGGTTATCTTATAAAAAAAACAACTGATTTTATAACAAAAAGAGACAAAACAACCAAATACAAACTTGCAAAGAGATATTCGCTTTTTTTTAAAGTATGGCATTCCTGTAATTCCTTTTCATAGTAATAGAAAATACACATGATTTGAAGCTTGATGGGAAAAATATGGAAAAGCTTAAATATTCCTATTATGCCTTAGTAGCTTTGGCTGACATTTTCCCCCATCCTATCACTTAAAAAAAGCTGAAGCATAATGATGGATTTCCTCATTTACCTGCAACATGTGTTCATTAAAATATCCAGTTGAGTGCTTTGGTGGTGCTCTGTGAATGCAGGTAATTCTCAAACTTATAATGTAGATATAATTGATGTTAACAGCTGCGTCCATTTTCCACAAGTTTCCCTGAGAATTTATCTTACCCATTTTCACCAGTAGAGGGCAGTGTTTATTAAACTTTGCCGCTGCAGTGAATCCATCAGAATGTATCTGTGCTGCCTTAGATTTAGAGATTTTAACCTCAGATTTAAGTCCAAAATGTTTGAGATAAAACTGGAGCCTCTTATGTTCTTCAAGGGTTGTTCAAAATATCCGAATCTATCTTATCTATGCATTCCCATGCTTGATTTTTGCTCTGCTTCAAGAAGCACACTACAGATATTATTATTTCAAATAAAGAAGAAAAATCTGCAGTTTGGTGTGTTTTTGTCATAAAGATATGTTCACATTCAACCCCAATGTCTTCCTTTGTGCTTACAAGCCACTTTTAACATTTTTAGTGTTACTCTTTAAACTTTAACAGAAGAATTCCAGAGAGCTTAGTTGTTCTACATCTTTAATTCTATAACAATTGATAAAGAAACACATTCATATATTTACAATGAGTATGAAAAATTAAATACATTCAAAATATACAGTGAGAACATCTGCACAGATCTTGCTACGGAATAAATGGACAAGTTATAAGTCGATATCCCTCAGTTAATGCAGTTTTTAAGTGGGATTTTAAATTTCTTTTTGCCTTTATGGGTATCTGGATTTCTTTCACATATTATCATATTGTAATCACAAACTAATGTATTTCTTAAAGTTTTTAGTTGAGGGAAATGCAACATTTTTTTTTTTTAATAAGATTGGAAAAGTATATTAATTTGTATTTAGTCCCATTAGTCATCAGTTTGAACAAAGTATTTCTTTGCATAATAATGAATTGATCTAACCATTTCCTTGTTTAGTGTTTTTGTCCTGATTTAAGGTGGATTTGAGTCTTCAGTATTTCAATCATCTAGCAGGTTTTTCTATAAAAAACTGCCTCCTTCTTACCAGGTTTTTGAGTTGTGCAGCGAATAGACTGTACCAGCTGAACCTTGGAACGCTGCAGCTCTTATTGCTTCGGCTGCTTCTGTTATTTTTTCTCACCTAACAAAGATGGATGTCTGGGAATGTTTCATCTTTTCCCTTTACAAGAGGATGGACTGATGAGTCAACCGACTGGGTTGGATGAGTGCCCTGTTTCAAGTGCTTGAGATATTCTATTACAACTGAAACATTCTGCAAACTTCTCACATTGTTAATTAAAGTTCTCTAGCAAATCTCTGAGTCTTTAACAGGTGATGTGTATCTACACTGGGACTAGATTAGATCAAAGTCAGCTCTTTAGTATTTACTCATCAGGTTTATTCTGAAGACGGTTGATTTCCCTGGGCTTTATTTAGATTTACGGTATTAAATATAAAGGAGCTATTTACAAATGCAAACCTTGCTTCTCAGATTATTTTTATCTGTAAAAAAAGAAAAAGTCACTTTTCAATGATGCACTATTTTGTGTCCCGCCTGTCATATAAAAATTCAAATAAAATACATTGTAATTTTTGTTTTAATAAGACAAAAGACAGAAAGGTATAGGTTTATAAATAATTTAGCACTACACTGTACATCACCAAATAGAATAACAAGTTAATATTCAGTTAAGGTGCTGGTTCCTAGCGGTTTTAAGACATAAAAGGTTGCTTTAAAGTTGATGTCTGGCGTAGTTGATTGGGTTTTTACAACCTAGACAAAATCTAAAAATACCCCGTCATCTTATTTTTAGAATTCTGTTTTTTTTTATAGTCCTGAGTTAAAAATACATTCATTTCTGTGTGAGACTTTAAGGATATCCTGTTATACTGAAGTCTTAACCTTAAGTAATATTAAATCTGGTAGTTCAGTCCAGAAGAGGCAGAAATCTAACCAGTTTATCAGCAGAAGAGACTTAAACCAGCTATTTAGATGCTGTCAGTCAAAGGTAGCATGGTATAAACAGGCAGTAGAAGGCATTCAGGATTTGGCTGTTTCTTGCTTAGTTATGGCTGCCTGAATAAACTCAACGGCTTTGCTGCAGGGCTGCAGGGGGTCGCATTCTGCAAATACGTGGCAGATGTTCTCCATGCCAGCTTCAACACCTTTTGCCACAAAACCAAACATCCTGCAGAGAGAAAAATAAATAAATTAGATGCATTTGCATAAAAATTACTATAAGAAGCAGAAAAGTTAAAGGTTTAAAGTGAGGATTACCTTGCACCAAAATGTGTACCCTTATACCACCTGCAAAAGAGATGAGGACATGTTTGTTAAGCAAAGTGTGAAAGCATCAGAAACATGCATGCATCCAATTGGCAAAGCTGAATCTGTGAAGGTGCTTTATAAACATACAGTCGATTGTCTGGATCTTCACCACTGTAGCTAAGCAGGTAAGCAGGGTAGTGGCGTCTGAAGAAAAGCCTGCAAAAAAAAAAAAAAGTTTGGGTAAATAAGTTGCAGACAAACCACATCTCACCACCAGCAGGTTGTAGGTTAAAATCTCAGCAGCAAAATGACAGAGTGCCTTACTTCCTGTTGATATCTGTGAGTGTTACACCCTTCAGAGACACCTTCATGTTGACAATGGTCGGAGCAAAGGTGCCGGGTTTCTTCTCAAGTGTTGAGGACACCGCCCTGTGCACCGCACAGGGGCCTGTTAACATCTCGGTGGGAACAGCGTTTAGATAGACAAAGTTACAGGCTGAAAAAAAAAAAACAAATCAATTTAGTTCTGTTTCTGATCTATTCTGCAACCCGATTAAGACAAATTTTCAAATACACAATAGAAAAAAAAGAACTTTTTTTTTTTTTATTCCAGTAGACTTTTTATTTATAGAAAGGACTTAAAATATTTCTTGCTTTGCAGGGTTAGCTTCCCTTTTTTTTTGTCTAACTCTATCTTTGATGTTAAAGAAGGATGAAAGATGTTTCAAAGCAGAATGTGAAAACACAAAAAATATTTTGTGGAATTAGAAATAAAGTAGTATTAATGAAGTAGTTGTCTTTTATTTGTATTTTTTCCTTGTTCCTGTTAAGAAATCCAAATATAACATTCATTAAATGTTGGACCTTACTTTGCAAAACCAAAGTCACTATCTTATCTTCACTCACCTGTTTTACTTTTGTCCTCTGTCTTTTCATTTTCTTTCTCCTCCAGATCTGCATAAAGAATTTAAAAAGGAACTTTATATTTCTTCAGTTTTTCTTTTATTAAAATTCTTATTTCTTGCACGCAAATGCACCAGAACATATAAAACTTTACCCACCCTGGTCATTCAGTAGCAATCTGCAGGGTAACGCATAAGGAGTGATTGTGTGCTGGTAAACCAAAGCTGGGAGGCTACCTGCAAGAACAACCACATTCAGTTTAATATCAGTCATAGATCAGTTATACCAACATTTGATCTGATTTTAGCAAAAAAATTTTAATTACTAGACATACAAACAAACAAACAAACATATGTATCCATTTAACCAGGAATTCCTGTTTGCATCAGATGTTTTTTCGTTGGTTTTTTACAAAAAAAATTTTTTCCCCCCATGATATAAAAATCTAAATTTAGAACAAGGCATACAAAAATGACGGCCACTATTCAGCAACACCAGATTGCTGGGGGGGATTGAGTGTAGTTCTCCCTGGCCGTATGAAGCTCAAAGTAAAGCTGTGCTCCTTCTACCCAACAAATTGCACACTGCCGGTCTGCTGGCTGAAAAACTAGTAGAACAAAATGTTCCTTATAACAAAGCACTGCCAATCCTATGATGTTATGAAGTATGTTTTAGAATGAAAGTTAACAAGTAACGGGTGTTTTTAATGACCAGACTAATTATCCAGCTAAAATCAAAATTTTAAATAACCATCAGAGGCTACAACTAAACTTAACCAGTACTTTATTTCAGTTTAGTTTATTTATATAACATCAATTCACAACACTTTCCACTTCAATGGCACTTTACAGATCATTCAACCAGACCATACAGGCAGATTGATTGAAAGTTTTTTTTTATCTCAGGAAAACCAGCTGATTGCATCGACT